TACAATTACTGGTAGTAATAATTTTGTCAATGAGTCAATTGCTGTATATTTTAAAGTCAAGTTGTAAAATTAATTCAGTGGTATATTTTAGCATATAATTTTCGCTTTCTTTGTTTTGTTAAATGTAATCTTCCACTAATAATAATAATGTTAGTAATAGTATTGCCTTAATAACAATAGGAATTTAGTATTATATGACTGATATGGATATATTTAATAATTATTATTTGTTGAAATTCAAATTATTAAGTAATCAAATTTTAATTTTATACAAATAACTTGTTAATTTTTCGATGATTGCTCTAACAAAAATGTGGTTACGAATGCGTGTATTTAATTTTCTAACTGTTATTTTAAAATCATTTTTAGGTATTGGACATCCCGCCATTGCAGAATATTTTTAATTATTAATTTATATGTATACACACTTTCCATGATAAAATACATGCACTTTTCTATGATAAAATTCATGCAAATATTATATTTAATGAATATTGATTTTTGTTGATATTTACATAACTTTTTTCAAAATTCTTATATTAACAATGTAATCGTGATTACATGAGTTGAATTTTAAATGTGGGTACAAAAAATTTAAGATAAGTCGAAGGGGTACCTTCAATATATTCCTTTGTAACCACAATTCCATAAGGAAATCATTTTATTCGTTTATTTTTAATAAAAGATCATTTTAAGGAATGTATGGCAAAACATACTTTCTCGCGAATTTTAATATTATATTAAAGATGTGACACAAATGATAATTGTAATTGACATGCTATCAAAATTATTACTATTGTAAGTGATCTGAAAAATTCGAGATTCACATCTTTAACAAGACCACTGTTATTTGATTGCTCAACTTTTCTTTACAAATGGATTTTGTGAATTTGATTTGATGTAAAATCAGAATACCTTATGTTCGTTCTCCATTGAAAATTTTTCTTCTTTGTATCGGATATGAACCGTGGAGGAACTTTGATATGATGAAATTATTGAGATAGATATCTTGAATGCGATAAAAGTGTTGTTATAAATATATTAATGACTTTTTATCGTGATATTATTAAATTTATATTCACAAATTATTAATTAATAGTTAATACAATCTAACTGTTGTTAGTATTTCTTCTGCGTTTATTAATATTTCATTTTTTAAACGTTGGTTTAAAAACATTTATGTTATGATACATATTTTCGGCATTTTCGTATAATCCCCCATTACTAAAATTTATTAATTATGCTTCTATATTCATTTTTATTATATTTTTAACTATATTTATATTATCATTTTTATTATATTTTGAACAGCATTTATGATTGTATATTGTTTTGTAAATAATTATTATAAGTATAATAGAATTGTATAAAGGATTACAGTAAAAAATAATATTAAAAAAGTTATTGTAATTTCATTAACGAAATACGCTAAAATAACACATAAGAATAAAACTATACGCAGCACTATTATACGAACCAAATATCGATTTATCATCTCCAGCTTTGAAAAGTGACAATGTATCCTAAGAAAAGTAGACGTTACTATATAGTTTACATTCACTTTGTCAGAGGGCAGTAGTGCGAGGCAGCATTTTGCGATTACAGGTTTTGGGTCATGTCCTCTCTCAGGTTTCTTTCTGTAGGTAGTGATTATGTTAAGGAGTGTTTGGGTTCCTATACGGGTTAGGGTGCTCCTCGAATATCTGTTATCCTTATTTAATGTTCAGTAAACAACAAGGATGGAGTGATATCTGGGTGACATTTAGGTAGGAATCTGAACCATTATCCAGCATTCGAACACTTTTTTTTTCTCTAGAGCGGAAATATGAAAAGTGAAAATTTTTATGCATGTGTGTATTGTACATACATATACACACTCATACAAAAAATTTCCCCCTTTGACGCTTCCTCTATTTAAGGAAAATAGTTACACCGATCGCTAATTCGTTATCCTGGTGCTGTTTTTCTGTGCTTTCTTTGACTTTTTTCAAAAAATATAGGATGAAATATAAGAAAATATATAATGATAATCGTTTCATCAAATTTGGTTCCAAACGAATTTCGATCATGTGCGTACGTCACTTAATAAGACGCATAAGAATAAAATCTGATAATTTAACATTTTCAAAGGTATGAAGAGCTGTTTAGAAATTAGAATTGAACGGTTTAAGGTTATAATCACATCTGATAAGTGATCCTTGTCTAGCAAAATTTGTTTCACTTTTGTACGAATTGAAGCACTTCAAAAATACTGAAAAAGTCTATATTTTTACTTAGAATTTTTTATTTATGTCAATTTAGAAATTTAAAATTTCATATTCTGTATTTTCTAAAAAAGTATCTTATTGAACTTTTTTAGATTTTGTTAGATTTTCAGAAAAAATTCAAAATCAGAAATTTTAGAATGTGAATTTTTAGAAATCTTAAATTATATTTATATAAGAATTATAGGGAAAATGTTTTTAGCAATTTTAAAAATTGTTTTAATTTATATTTAAAAATCTGAGAAATTTTCTAAAAAAAAACTAGAAAATATTTCAAAAATTTTAAAATTTATGTAAAATTCTAAGAAAAATTTCCATTAGGAAATTCTTGTTTAATATAAAGAATATCTCTGTAGGTGAAGGATGGGGTATTAGAACAGGAGCAGTATCGCAATTTTCGTCTTCAGTTTTTCCTGAAGTATAAACCATTACCTACCAAAATGTGTGAAGTTATTGTTTTATTCAACGGTTATTCCAAAAATTTGGGTAATGGAAAAATGGATGCAAATTGCACTTGTACTCTAATAATAGGGCCCAAATTGATTATCGTCGACACTATGACTGCTTGGGATCGTGAGATACTAATAGAAGGTACACTAAATAGAATTTGACACTGAAATTTTACAATATTGCTTATTATAATACTAAAACGGTTGATATTTTGCTGGAACTATTGAAGGTGCCAAATTGGTATTTTCTTTTTCTCAATTAAGGAAGAATCATAGCAATACCATTTGTATCATATTTACATATTTTTAATATTATATATGATATATTTAAAAAGAAAAAATTGAAATACTTAGTCGAAATTATTTTATGATTAATTATTTAATTAATATTAATGTATTATTGATATGTTATATAATATTTAATATATAAATATAATTAATATATAATACATAAACAATATAATATATAGTAATATATAAATTACAAATTCAATTGAATGAGCTTATAGAACTCCCACTATTTATTTTATAGTTTTGTCTATCTTTTTATTTTTGAAAGAGATAAAATTGATTCTATTTCCAATTGATGTTGAAAAATACAATTATTTTTATTTCTCTTTTTTTATGTCTTAAAGTAAATTTTTGGGATTTTTATGAATAATACATAATGTCTTTTTTAGCACTCGCACAGTATAATATCGAGCCAAAGGACATTGATTACGTTGTTTGTACTCACAGTCATTCCGATCACATAGGGAATAATAATCTATTTACAAAGGCACAACACATTGTGGGTTTGACTGTTCAGTGTCATACTATATTTTACGAAAATCTGATTTCAGACAGTAAGCTTATTGAAGTATAATGAATTGATAGGAACACGGTCGTTACAAAGAAAGTTATATTTTTTCAGAGGGTTATAAGCTCTGTTCAGATGTTAATGTTATAGCCACGCCAGGACATACGAAGGAAGATGTCACCGTTTTAGTAAATACGACAATGGATGGGGAAGCAAAGCTTATAGCTATTACGGGTATGCGCACAAGTTTCAGAGATCATTGACGCATTTTAATAAAATTTACATGAAAAGTTTTTTTTCTCAATTTATAATTATATACTTGTTATACTATTTCACGCTTTTACAGGAGATTTGTTTGAAAAAGAGGAAGATATTTTAGATCCGCATATCTGGAAATCGCTTGGCACACCAGAATTGTTAAAAACTCAATCCGTTATGCGTTCTCATATAATAGATCTCGCAGATTTTATAATACCTGGACATGGGTCAATGTTCTGTGTTACTGATACTATGAGAAAAGCCGTGAAATGTCAAGTAATTCAATAAGACAGTATTATTGTTATGTCATTAATGAACATTTATAGAGTTTTATAAGATACAATAAAGAATATACTTTCAAATATTGATATTAGAATAGACGAAAATTACAGAAAACAATATTACGGAAAATAATAGGAAATCATGATAACAATTGTTACGCTCTTTATTTCGTTTTAACTTTTGCGTAAAAGTTATCAATTTTAATAAAATTTTAATTTTTGTCAAACGATTGACTTGGAAATTAAACTTGATTAAAATCTGTCCTTCGAGAGTTAAATTTCGAACAACAAAAAATCATAAGTTTCATCAGTATAACGTGCAATACACATAGTATAAAAAAGGATTATTTAAAGATCCTTGCAAATTAAAATCTTTTCTTCAATTTTATTATCGATTTGCGTACAAAAATATAAACAATTTGAATAATTTTACATATGGCAGTTTGTCTTTATGCATTAATTGGATACAGGCGGATTCTCTTCATACTTATTTTTTATATCTTTAAGCAAGAACTCGGATCGAAATTACATTTCAGAATAAAATTACGGATCGATTATGATTCGAGGTTATTCAACTTTCGATTTCAGTGTCAGTTCTAGTTCTCTTAATTCTCTTAGCGATAACGATAACCATTACAAGTGTATAATTACCGAAACTGAAAATGATTTGGACTAAAATCCAAACGATCTCAGTAACCGTTACGATAAAAGAACTGGAAACAAAAATTGAATTTAATTCGGACCGTTATTCGAAATTTATTTGAATAACGGTCCAAGTCCTGTTTTAAATAAAAATCTCTCTTTATCTTAATTTTTGTAAGTAAAAGCGTGTTATCAGTAGTGAAATGTCTGCAGTAATTTCTCAATATTATATATATGTGCGTGCGTGTGTGCGTGTGTGCGTGCGTGTGTGTGTGTGTGTATACATACATATATATATTGGAATATATATTAGAATCTCCTCATTATGAAGCAGATAACATTTATAAAGTAAATCGTGCTCCTTGTTCTTTTTTTGCCACTCATATTTGTTATGTTATATGAAAACAAGTAAAATAGAGCATACAGCATTTTATTGTTCATAATAGGAGGCTTGCTTGGTTCTGAATTTACAATACAATTCTCGAATTTAGAATAAAGCATGAAAAAGAATGTGAAATTCTATGCTGATATAAAAAAAAGACATTGCTCATTCTCACTACTGTAGCGTGTCTAAAAAAGATACTCATAAAAAGGATTATCATTTATGAAATATTAATAAGATTGACTAATTTATATCTACAATGATATATGTACAAACGATGATCATAAGGAAGTGATATGTGATCTCAGTAATCAACAGTGGGTAAATTTATCATAGATCTCCATTAATTCTTCCATATAATATTTTTGCAAACAGTAAAATTTCTTCAACGACATATACTTCAGCATGCAATGTATGCAATATACCATATATATATCCTTATTCTGCGCCTTACAGAATAATATGTTGAACACTTCGGCCTGAAGAAAATTAAAAAATTATTTTTAATGCTAAATAACTCAAATATATTATGTAATATAATATATATTGCTTGATATATTGAAAATGAGAAACATACTTCGCAATCTTTGCAATAATGCGCTTGTTTCCTGAGTTGGTTATCGTATCGCACTTCCATACTCTTGCTTTTTAAAAATTCGAGTGTTAAGTAATTATATATCATTGTTTGTTTCAAGCAGTCCTTGATTAGATGGAACAGTTGCAAATTTGAGATTTTAGTCTCGCATGCCAATCTCCATGAAAGCTGCACCATCGGTACGATTGATTTGAATTTGTTCTGCTTGTTCCATTCGTAACGTTCTATCGCCAACTCATATTGTGTGGCAGTAAACGGGCCAACATTCCATGCGATATTATTGCACGAGCCAACTGCTTGCACCCAGTGCACACAACCGACGTTCACCCACACGATTTCACCCGGTCTTTGAAGGAATCTATATACCGGGACATTATTTTTATATAGAACGTTCAAATCTGGTGGCCACCAACTGCCCCTCAAGTAATCGACGCCGGTTTGCGAACAAAGCGAATGTATTACACCCCAGTATTCGTATGATACAGCAAACCATTCGCAATCGCCCGGTCCGATATTAATGTTGACAGAACAGAAATTATTATTCTCTTGATGACCAGTCGTTCTACATCCGGGTACCTAAAGACAATTACACATATGTATAAATTAAACGCAATCAGCACTTTTCAAATATATCGTTGAAACCCCATTCCAACTTAAAATTATAGATGCGGTCGAGTTGCCGCTAAATGAATGTTTCGAAGCATTTTTTGATTGGTCAATTAGTAAAATTCTTTCTTCCGATTGGTCAATCAAATGCTTCAAAGCATTCGTAGCGGTAACTCGATTGCACCCTACGTCATATCAAATTTGAAATATACCTTCATATATAACTGTACAGTATTCATCCCTAAGATATCATAGCCCACGTATGTGAGCATATTATCAGTACATTTAACGTTGAGAAAGGATGGTAACTTCGTTAACTGATGTAACTGCGGTTTCCATATTTCCACATTTGACAAATCCACATTGGTAGCGAATTTTACTGTTCCTTTCTCTTTATTCTTGGTCACTTGACCGGGACTGGTGGAAATAGGTATGTTGGCAGGCACAGTTTCCACGTCATTATCCGAGAAAATTTGGGCTTGATATTGCGCATAGTTTTTAATTGTCGAAGTACTTCTGTGGCTGAAACACTTCCAGACCTTCGTTTTCTGCTGTGTATCCCAATTCTCATCAGAAATAGACTTTATTTGTTTGTGCACATCGATTGGCATATTTGGATTTGCCTTGAGCATACTTTCAGTCGAAAAAACGTTCAGATCAATCTCAAGCGTTGTCGTGAGGCCATGTATCACGACAATTGGATGTGTCATACAAATCTCTTGTAGCTTCGAAAGGACTGCTTGCTCTTTGCTGCTGACATTATAGCGTTGTATCGGCGGTGACAATTGTTCTTTCGTGAATGCGGAACTGCACGGATACGGCACCGAATAAGTGCTTACTAATGAACATTTTGGCACTTCGTTCATTCTTCTATTTTTGTATGACTTGAGAATTGTTGAGGCATCCATTCAGATGCTTATTATCTTTTATATCGGCTACCGTCTAGATGGATAATTAAATAAAAAATGATAAAAAATATATGAAGTACTACAGACTCTTGGTGAAATAAGTATGCTAACAGCTAGTTAGTTCTCCGTTATCGCACACACGAAACTATGACCGCTTTGTTTATTAATATATTCGATATGTGATTTGAAAGTTGAGGGACAAAGTGATGCGAATACAGAGAATATAGATTCAATAATATAAACATTTTCTCCACAACAAAGCTATTTGATTTATAGATACATTTTAAATATTCTGTTGATCTTTATATTATAGATAGACACACTGATCACACACAATATCGTTTTAGGACAAAGGGAATAAGGGCCGGTTGTTCCATCTTTTGATAAATTTTATCTGTGAGGTAAATCCGTGTATGTGATTGGATCTTGCTACTTACCCAACAGACAAAATTTATCAAAAGATGGAACAACCGGCCCTAAATGAGTTTATTTTCGAAATAATGGTTGTATTCAGCAGAATATTTATTTGCAATTATTGGAAGTTTCCTTCGCGCTGATTGGATTGTAGAATTTTAGATCTAGAGGAATAATCTTATCTCAACAATTATAAAACGGTTACAAAACTGTTATGTTCTGCTGAATACATCCATTGTAGACTCGACGTCCAGTCGATATCGTATTATTTTCTATAAAAATCTACAAATTTTGAATGGTAGACTTTATTAATATAATGAATGAATATAGAAATATGATATAGAAATATGATCTAATGAGATTATATTTCTTCAAAGGGCTACTCTATTGAAAAAATATCATGTCACGATGAAATCATGTAATTAAAATATGTAAATCACATAATGGATTGTATCAAGTCAGTACGTAATTTTTTAAATGACGCAATTTGAAAAATCACTTGATATTAGAAATAATTTCATCCAACATGTGATTTTATAGTTATCGAATTTTAAAAGAATTGAATGATAGGAATGAAAGAAAAAAAAACATACCATCATGTGACTTTTCAAATTACGTACTTTTAAAAAATCACGTACTGATTTGGAACAATTCGTTACATGATTTACGTTTTAATTACATGATTTCATCATGCAATTGTGTGACGTGATTTTTTTCATTAGAGTACATGCAATAAAGTCTGCCCATGTATTAAAATTATATCATATCAGGATACATGTAAGAGGATTTAACCGGTTTAATAGAGACGATAATGAATGTAACTTCTTGCTATTATTATAAATATCCAGAGGTTTCAGAGAACATTTACATTTAGTATTTTTAGCAAAATCCAAGTACATTAATATATTTAGTAAAAAAGTTTATTTCTTTCTCAATTTATACTTATATACTTGTAGCAAAAATGTACTGATTTCACATTTTTGCAAGAGACTTGTTTGAAAAAGAGGAAGATGTTCTGACACTGTATATCTGGAAGTTTCTTGTCTCACATTAGATCCAGATAGCCAATTAAATTTGTAGAAAGCAGATTTTTTAAAAATGTCTTTTACACACTATGCCAATAAACTAACAACAGAATTAGATGTACGTAATACTGTTGGCAGACTATGCTAGAAAAAACATAACAGAATCTATAAACGTCAGATAATATCGGTAGGATCTGCTCAATTTCTGCCAACAATTTGCCTTCATTGCATCGACAGGCGATCTTAACAGAACACAAGCCTAATGCGGACACAATTGATGGCAGACGGCAGATTTTTTGCTCCTGCTGCTGACAGTTTGTTGAAGACTGCAGACATTTTTTGCTATCTGGGGGAATTGTTAAAAATTCAATTTAAATATTTGGACATAGAACAGTGTTTCGCATTATAGATATACTTATTGTGAGAACAATTGTAAAGAGTCAAGTAATTCAGATATATTTGGTAAAATATATTGGTTATTTTATTAATAAACATTTATGCAGAATTTTTATAAAATATAATAAGGAATGCCTTCAAATAATGCTTGGTATTAAAATAAATTATTACAGAAAACAATAGGAAATTATGATAACTTGTTACGCCCTTTATTTCGTGTTAACTTTTTCTTGACGTGTTATTGATTTTAATAAGTAATTTTTGTAAAAAGAAATTAATTTGAAAATTAAACTTTGATTAAAATCTATACCGGGGGTTAAATTTCGGACAACAAGAAATTATAAGTTTTATCAGTATAACATGCAACACATTGTATGAAAAGAGATTATTCTAAGAATATCCTTTCTAATTAAAATCTTTTCTTCAATCTTGCTATCAATTCGCATACAAGAATATATATCATTTGAGTAATTTTACATACGATTTGTTTTACAGTTCGTCTTATTTTTCTAACAAGGATTAATTGAAGACAAGCGATTCTTCATGTTTATACAATTTCTTTAATAAAGATATCTTTAGTAAAAATTTCTCTCTTTTTATCATAATGTTCGTAATGAATAAATCATAAAATCGAAAAAGTTGTGTAGTAAATATCCAAGTGTTTCCATTATTAAGTGTTACTAATCTAAAGTTTAATAAATTTTGCTACAATTGATAGACTTTTCAACTTAAAATTATGTTATATCAAATAGTATGATTTTACGATGAATTATAAGAATTATTATTATAACAAATTATTATTATTGTATAAATTATTTTAAATTGTATCTTCATATATAACTGTATGGTGTTTATTCCTAAGATATTATGACCTACATGGATAAGTATATTATTGTCCCAATTTATATTCTAAGGAAAAGTGGTAACTTTGTTAATTCATCTAATTACAGCTTCCACTTGTTCGCGTTTGATAGATCCACATTGGTAGCAAATTCACTATTTCTATTTCACTTCATCCTTTTGCAATTGGATATTTGAGAGATTGTCGGAAATGGATACATTGCCGTACGCATTTTCTTTATGATCATCCAGATAAGAATAGTTTGGGCTTGATAATTCGCATATTCTCTAATCTTTATAGAACTCATATGACTGAAACATTTTCAGATTTTTTTTTCTTCCTATCCCAATTCTCATTAAAAAAGCGTACTTTACTTGTTCGCTCTTCTGTATCTCTATTCTCTTAGAGGGATTTGTCTTGATCAGAGTCTCATTGTCAAAAAACTGGTCCGATTAAGTTTCTTTCTTGAGTAACAAATAAATATATGTTTTTAAATATGTTTTTAGCCTTCCCGAAATAATAATGAAAGAATAGATCTTGCATATGTTTTTACAAATACTTTATTAAACATTGCAAAGTGTGGTACATGGTATCACAACGTTGTTATACTCATTGCATGTATGCGTTACGATTACACATTATACATCGGATTCACGAACACGAATATTTATACTGAGGAGCACAATACGTTCATCTTGCGATTCCGCTCACCATAGCGCAGATCGTTACAATTTATCTCAGAACAATCTCTTCGCGAACACCATACTTATTTCAAAGAATTAATTCGCGAATCAATACATATTTGATAAATACAATGCTATTTGAACATTGTCCTAAAGATTTATTCTCCTATAATATCTATGCTCTATACGTTCGCGAACAATTTTATTAAATCTTCACAGCCAACGACTAAATTAAAAGTTCTTTCACATCCTCACGCCATATTCGCATTCTTATTTAAAAATTATAATTGAAGTACATTTTTTTTGGGAGTAGCGTAGATCTAACTTTACTCTACCGGAGAATTCTCAACAGTATCGTAACAATATAAGGAAGCTGATAAATATATCTTTGCTCGAAAGTACAAATTAAAAATTGATAAATCCTCTTAAACATTATCGCGTTGTAATGTTGCATATCATTAAGAATACGTGTGATTAAAGCTCGCGGTCGCGCGTCCTCTGCTGCTACTATATTCAAAAATCAATCACATAGATATTATAACACATAACTTTTAACTTTTATTCATAATTAATAATAATTCAAAATTATGAAATGATTAAAAATTAAAAATCGTATGAAAAATCGTATCTCTTAACGGAGACAATAGTTTTCGGTGATGTGAGAATTCATACGATTTCTTGCATTTGGTATAATAATTTGATACGATTGCAGCAAGGCAACAGGAGTTTTTAAAGTGTTACAATATAAACAGTAAAACGGAGTTCCCGGCACTCCGCGTAAATAGTTGCTAGGTTTTGTACATAACGGCAAAATCAATTCGCCGACTGTTGTAAATATCTAAATTCAATAATTTCGCAAGATGAAAAAATCCAATTACGTAACGTGACTTTATCCGTCGTCAAATCAATGCGGAATACCTTCAAATAGAATAGATTCGCATAACGCGCGATAGAAATCAATGTACATAGTTTGTCGTGGATACCAAATCGATGTACAAATCTTACAGCGTATCTCTGACTAATTCTGAACTGATTTAGCTTCATCCCTACGTATATCGATTAGATACAGGTCGATTTTTGCGCTATATCATTATTTCATCGATTACATATATTAATTATAATTTTCATATTTCGTAGTTACTGTATGCGTATGAGTCGCGCATAATCTGTTAACAAGTTAGTATCTCACTAATTAATCCAAACTTTTAACAAATTCTTAATGGTAACGTTTAACGGTAAAAGAGAATACATTATTTACATACTAGATATTATATTATATAAGAAAAACAAAGATATACATTAATTTTTTTATGTAATTGCACAATTGGCAAGCAAATGATGTATTCTCTATTAAATCACTTTGAAAAATTCGGCAGATATTTTGAATAATTATATATCAATAATCATTATATACTGTTATACTCCGTATATATAATATTACATAATAATATAATATATATAATACATATATATAAATATATAATATAATTATTATTGTTATATAATTATTCGATGCATGTGTTATATAAGATATTAACGTGTAATGGATCACGCGACTCATTCTGTACACATCATGACTTTCATCACACATTCAGAGTACTATAATTAAAGCTTGCGAAGAAATATTCAACATATGGCATGATTTCTTCAAAATTAAGCTATCTAAAGAAACCGATGACCGTGTGTATATATTGGAAATACTTCCTAAAATGTCCTTTATTTTTTCCATTCTATTCTATTAAAAATTGCACAGGAAGCACGACTGGTTCTTCAAAAGTCAACAGCAATTTCTATTATGATCCTTAGAGCTCCTGTCGCGAGCTTCTGCCATCGGTTGCAGTATACAGTTGCTTAGAAAGACTCTTCATCAAAATCGGCAGCACGTTATATCAGATATCAATTGATTCTTTGCAATTAATACGATTCTTGGTGCCCTTGTCGCTTTGGCTAGGTGAAGAACTAGTTAAATAATTGAAACTTGCAATATATTAAAATTTACAATAAATATATACAATCTAAACTCATCGTGCGGCTGATTTTGAACTGATAACCGGACAGGAATTGTACGAAAGTGATTGAGCGAGATGAAACGAAACGGTCAATCGGCTATAAAGAAAGATTTTATAAGTGTCTGCCGACCAGACCGGGCAGGGCGACTCGTGTGTGCAGCGGTAGTGGTCCCGGACTAACTTCTCCCATCATCATCACGGTCCCCAGCTGTCCCACAAAGTATTAAACACACATCAAGAATCGACTCCAGAACTATATCTTCTCTCACATGTAAGCCGTTTGACAATTAATCGATTAATCGTTTACATTCAATCTGGCGCATTAGACAACTTTTACGTATATCGCGTACACGAGCTGAGATTGTAATGCTATTTACAGAACGGACTGGCTGATTGTGTCATCGAGATAGGCCTAGAATTTACTTCGTATCAAAACCCAGCTTCAAAGTGAATTTAACTCACGAGGTCAGAAAAAATAAAATTTGTTTAGCTTTCTATTTACAAAAAACTACTATAAGATGCTAATTTGCCAGCAGAAAGCACATTGTTTCAATTTTGTCGATTTTCTACTTGTATATACGTATGTAATTTATTCTTTATAAGAATAATCTGCTGATAAGTAGTACCGCATATTTTTATTTAAAAAAAAGAAAAAGAAATGACAACAATCGACTAAGCAACGATCATGGTTTCGTTGCCTAAAGTATCACGCCTGGAAATTACATTGCGCCTGCATCATTGACTTCGTTATCAAATTATAAGTAACAGTTACATTAATATAAAAGTAAATGTACGAGCCCGTAATATCACTGCCAGAACTATCTTAGCGAGACTTAAAGGAATTAAATCTGATAAAAACTCCTTAACGTTAGATTTTTTTAAATTAATAACCATTTAGGAAATATGTCTTACATACATAACTTAACGCTTAACAACTCAATATTTAAACATAGATACATGGATAGGTCACCGGCAACAATTATATAAAACATATAATGTTGGGACCTTAAAATAAATCTTAAAACGCCAAAAATATATCTTAAAAATATCATGTTCACAACTGCGATCTACGTGCAGAGCTCCTGACACTCGTCTGTGAATAAATAACATAAAAATATACAACTAAAAGGAGAAAACAACGTAAATAAAGATAAAATAGGTACGTGTGAAGTAGTATATTGCAGCATGCAAATATTAAACGGATAAGTATGCCGGCAGCGCGATTGCGAGATGATCAATGCCAGAGATTCTTTAACATTAAAAAATTGATTGCATGCAAAAAAAAACGCTCGAGGGTCACAGTCGGTAAAATAAGTATTCGCAATCTTATTCTTTCGAATAAAATTTTAGAAAAGAATTAAAATTAATGTTTCAATATTACGAACGAAAATGATCTGTTCTGTCAGAAATATTACATTTTCATGTAAAATTATCTTAAAAAAAGACAAGATGTACGAATATTCTTTTTCCCCACTTTGTGTCAGCTTATAAATGAACTTATAAAAATGAATATATAACTTTTTACAGTAAGGATTAAAAGATCACAGCAGCAATAGAGCCTCAATGCCTTTTCCGTCTTTACAGTTGTAATCATCAATTCTCGCGCGATTAGAATTAATGAACACTGAAAATTATGTTTAATGCTCGATCGTTTGAGCCTCGCAAAGAATTTGGCAAACATTTCAGGGGTCAGAAAAGAAAGAATTCGGGAGTGCTCGCACTTAAAACTTTGTTGAGATTAGAAAAGCATTATTTTTTATTCAGTTCAATAAACACTATGTACTCTCCAGGTCCCGAATTTTCTTCTCTAACATTCTCTATGTACAAATAGAAGTATATTATACTTCAAAATATATATTATATATTATAATTTAAAAAAAACGACAAACCGGCATCTTCGTTCTCATTAAAACTATACGTACATATTAATACTTTCGAAAAATCACCGCGTGTTATGACCTATTCGCAATTATTCAAAGAGGAGAATCTGTCTTTTGCCATATAGGTCTTAGGTACACATAGATCGTTCGTCGAGCGTTTTCCCGGCTACAACGTTCGTAACGGAATAAATCCCTCCATTCCGATGAGTCTGAGGTCTTCGTCATCGGAATTGGAATCATCACTGTCACCGTTTCTCTCTCTCTAGAAAAACCGATGAAAAAAAAGTACGGTCAAACGTGCGCTCCGCAAATATACGTGACTGTGATTTTTTTTCCCTCTAAAGAGAAGAAGGGAAAGACACACAAGCAAAAACAAAGATCAGAGAAGAGTCTTGTCATCTCTACGTACATTAAACATAATTTTCGAGAATCGAGTTTATAAATAAGAAATTTATTCCATCGTTATGCAATGAATATCACACGCTATTGTCTATTCATTAATTCTCGTTATGTGTATATCATAGGCAATCGTTGACTAAAATAGTTACTTGCTGCACAGTTATAAATCACTTCAACAGAAAAGAATACGCAGTTACGAGGAGTCATTCGCACGCAACGGCGATTGACACGTTAACATTTCACTATCTGTCACGTACGGTGTTATAAGATTGGAGCAGAGCAGAAAAAAGTCGGTTTGCATTAACAAATAGCATACGTACATTCCCCTTATTCTTAAGCAAGCAGATTTGTTAAAAATTTACGGTGTATTTATAGTTATCATTGTCGTTTTCAAAATTGAGACATTGATTGTAATAGCAGCATAAAACTTGAGATTCCACTATTTAATTGGTGATAGTCATCATTAGAACTGTGTAATTATATAAAAGTATTTATTTGTAGATCTGATTTTTTTCATCTTTTGAAATTAGTTACTAAACTCTTAAATTCGTTTCTCTTAAAAAAAGTACCATTTCGAGTTACGCTGCTATCACATCCAAATCCACTGTTGCTGTTTCACTCGAGGTTTTGAACTCGGAAATCGAAAACAAAACGTCATATCGTCCAGATAAAATTAGTTTTACGTGCAATAGACATCAAGCTTGTATTTTATATAAAAGAACGAAAGCAAGAGGAGGCGATTATTAAAGTCGAATGTAAAGTAATGAACGTTCGCGCGATTACATCTCCTATACGTATTGTCTGTATTACATATACAGTATAGAGAACATGCGTAGAAATATACAGTGTACACACACTAGCCGCAGGCTATTATTGTTTACACTCACAGTCAAAGTAAAGAATTAAAAAAAGAAATGAGATATGAGATTCATTTGTATGATGTATCAGTCGACTTTGTCGGAAAACAAAGAACGTGAAACTTTTAGCGAAATTGTATACGACTATGAAGGAATGTAAAGCAAGTTACATAGGAATTAATTAAGTAAATTGTAATTCTGCGTTTAACGCGAAATATGTATACACGATTCTTCCATTCTCCCGCTTTTCCTTTCTTCGGCCTAAAAAGTTCAGATACACAAAAGGTGGTGGTGTTAGGATTGCTGTTAGTTCTACCTTCTGTGTAAATTGAGAATTACATAGGGCTCGTCCGGATTAGTGCCGACGTCTGTGGTGCTGTTGTTAGGCTGATAGCACGGATTAACAGTATAATTGAGATTAGGCTGATGGAAACTCACCGGCTGAACGCTGGTCCTGCGTCGTTCCATCTCGCGATCTTCCAAGCAGAAGTCCGAATCTGAATCGACCTTCCTCGCAACTTCGTCCTGTTGCAATGTATAATAATTATATAATAGATGTGGTAAAATTATTTTCATTTATTTCATAATCTAATGTATTATGTTGTAACAATATAATACAGACATCTAAGATGATATACATGTATTATAGTTAGTTTTAAAATGAAGTTTTCAACATTCGGACGATACAGTACCTGCGTCATTTGTTGCGTGGTTGTGAGAATTCTTGCTAGCGGACTACAACAGACCGGCAACGTTTCTAATAACGTAGGTCTGGAATGCGTTAACAAGGGCTTCATGTATTTGGTATCAAAATCGCCCCAAATTCTCGCGAGCAACGCCTTTTCGTTAGGTTTCGTGCCACCGATACCACCACTGCTACTACCGCCGCCTGGTAACGATCCGTCCTGCATAGAATTATACTGTGAAATGTGAACAATGCATCAGTTATCCATCCTGTATGATTCTGCGAGTTTTCCTTTAATCTTTAAACAAAAGTACACCACTTCCATTTATTATTTATAAACATATATTTATTAATGCGTTAAAATAAAATCGAAATAGGCATACATATTTTTAATTTTTTTTAAGCATCATAATAATAAGGATGTCGTTAGTATATTAATATACTAATGACATTCTTTTTGGATGTTCAGAGTTACCTTCATTTATTATTAGTTATGAAGAAATACATGCGTTCTTATAAATTATGATTTTGGTGTTCCATATTAAACATGTCTGTGTAAGTACTGTTAATGAATGTAAGTATTTCAGTGTTCTCCAGCTACTTTCCAACATACAGAATGGATAACAAAAACCATACTTGAAAAAATAATTAAAGGCACGTGCAGTTAACAAATTCAAATCAAAAGCCTTAATAAAATAAATCTGCAATTTGCAATATAAGCAGACGGATCGTATAATCATATAATTGATTTACATTCACATGCTACAATAATAATAAAAAAAACAGTTTCAATAAAGATATCAAGCGACACTTGATGCATGCAGTTACTTTTACGAGAATTGCATGATGCTGCATGAATTGTATGCGCCTATACAAGATGTTAAAAAGAATCATTTAGTATTTATATGGTAAATAAACAAGGAAATTAAATCAAAATATTCAGAACTGTAAACACTTCAGTAAATTTTCACGTCATATACGACACGTAGAAATAAGTCAGTTATAATATTAATAAACAAAATTATTTATATCTCAGAAACATAGAATTTTCGATCTATGTTCACTAATGCTTTTTTTCAGTATGATTTGTACTATTGTCATATAAATTCTGAATGGTTTCTTTTTAACATCCTGTATAAAAGACAATATTGGAGAAAGAAATGTATCGCGCTATAATTTATGCAATTCCATTAACATTTCTGGTTAGTATTAGCAGAGATATATATACTCTACAATTATTTTTCAACAGAGTTTCGGCTGAAATTTTTCAATTTTGGTTTTTTAATATAAAAAATGCGTAATGCTTCTTTATTTTTATAAGGAATCATAAAAATGCTACTGAAACTGTCATTTCTTTCATTAATAAAATGTAGTATTAACTTCATGGATATTCAAAAGTAGGATCTGTGAAGTTAACGCGGTAAATTCACACAGACCACTCCAAATGATCTCCGAGTGATCTTAATCTTAACTCTCAAGGAAGTCAAGGTCACTGACCTTTTCCGTCGCTTGTTACTCATTAAAAAGTTATAAACAAAACAATTTTTATGAATGGGACGTTTTAAAAACAAAAAATCTATCTTAAAATAGATTTCCTGCTTTAAAAACAAAGATTTTCTCCAAGGAAATCTATTTTAAAGCAAAGAATTTTGTTTTTAAAGAAGGAGATTTTTAATAAACCAGGAAATAAACACAAAACATAGAACGATTTATCACGCTTTGGTATAACATAAGAACATTACTTACACTATATAGCTGAATTTTTATTTAAAAGCTATACGATTATAATGTACCACAATTTTTCGAAATAATGGCTTCTTTAGATCCGATAAATAAATAATTCTGTATCAACTTAATTATGTAAAATATATTTTTGGGCGGAGAATGTCTATTTTACATAATAAATAAGAGTCATCTTTTTAAAAATTTTTTTGTTCGTAACTTTTCAATGAGTAACGACAGAAAAGGTCAGTGACCTTGACCTCCTTGAGGGTCAAAATCAAAGTCACTCGGAGGTCATTTGGAGCGGGCTGTGTAAAGGTGAATATTTACCAATTAAAAAAAGAGTTCTACATTTTTATATTGAAAAATCAAAATTGATGAAAATATAGCGTATTAACTTCATAAATCTAGCACTACTTCCCCTCCGAAGTACAAAAAAAAAAAAAATATTTCCACTACAGATCCTATTAGTACTATTCGAGTTCTATCAATATATGTAATTTAAAAACAAAATTCCAACAATTATTAATTTTAATACACTTTAAATAAGGAGTTAAAAAAAAATCCAGCATTTATACGATAGGTAGTACACACATATTGAGTTTTTAACCCAAGTTTACTAAAGCTTTTTTACTCAGTATGGTATGTATCATCTACTATATAAATGCTGAATGGTTTTATTAAATTAATATATTTATATTTGTGTGTAAATAATAAATCGAACTGTGAGAAGGGATGAGTCATCGAAATACACACAAAAAAATAAGTCAAATCATCTAAACTTTCAATTTGTCAAACAGGAAAATAGTGCGTCAAGTCAATCTTTAATTGTGATAACGTACCGGCGGACTTCTTCCCCTACGTATATCCAGATCACAGTAGCCACCCTCGCCGCCAGACTATTAACATTGATAAATTAAATTGTCTTGTAAATCGTAACATTCGCGCGCGCATTTTTTTAGCCGTGAATATTTATAATTCACTGTCGAATATTACAAAGTAATGTAACGAACATGCATGCAAGTTCGCAAGATGCGAGAATTAGATATCGGTACAATTTCGATAAAACAATTTCATACAAATGTTATTTGTGATTCAAAAAAATCACAAAACATTTTGCAGAACTTGAAGTAGATAGGTATACTTTTAACTATTAACTATGTTTTCATATACAACTATATAGCTATAATCGAAAAGCTCACCGACATTGTACCGTTAATACAAATCATTATATAGCATTCAATTCACTGTTAACTTTCTGAATCTATGATACTTTAATACTACTTTTCATACTAAAAGAAAAGAAAACTAGCAGGAGCATAGCAAAACAAAATTTTCGAAGCTTCAATTTTATAATTAACGAGAAGACTCAGCTGATCAATATGCATTCCAATAGTGTTCAACAAATTGTACACCTGGGTAAAAGCAACATCATAAAAAAAGATCATTATATAAAACAATAAAACTTACATGCACAAATGCCTACGCTTTTATGTCTTTTTAAAGCAAATACTCCTATACTCATTTTAATATAGCGTCGTTATATTTATTCTATCAATTATTATTGTCGAAGTTATAAATAATTAATCATCTTACAGAGTATAAGAACACCGCTTTACACATGCAAAATGCTATTCAGATAATCGTAAATCTTGCTATCAATCACTTAATCATGTATAGAGTGTCGAAATTATACAAACATATAAATATATTAATATACACGTGTATATATGCAAACAGCCTACATAATGTCTCTATCCCGCATTACGTAATATTAATTCTTCTAGATAGCACGAGATAGAGAACACGATTGTCGAATAAAAATTATGTCATACTTACACTGCGCGTTCCATTATGAGAAAGTCCTTCTATTTCTTCATCTACTCCGACTCTACAAAAGAAAAAAAAAACGTTTTAAGTGATACAATGAAAAGCAAAATCAATTGTACTGATAACAAATTAAATGGAAATAAGAAATAACAAATTATTGTTAGAAAAAATTCGTTTGTTTTCTTGAATAAAATTCTTAATAAAAGTAAAAAAAAAACAAATAAATATTTGGTTACATTTAGATATTTTACTTACGGAATATTGAACCAGCTTAAAAATTGCGTTGTTGCGCCTCCTTGTAGAATAACCGTCAATATAACAATCAAGCTAGTCGTGGTTAACATAGCTTGCCTGGCGTCCGACACGGTATTCCTGATGGCGAGAGCGAAGCTCATGGCGCCACGCAATCCTGCGAAGAACAGCATGTGCTGATAGTTTAACGATATCTTCGGCTTTCGCGCCAGATTCAGTATGAAAGATAATGGATAAACATTAGCCGCGCGACCCAGTAACGCGCATAACTGTAAAGTATGTTAAGGATAAAGTATTTTATGAATTAAATTAAGTAAATAAATTGAATAGAATTTGCTTAATATCTATTTAATGATATTCTTTCGACAGTTACGTTGTATAGCGTTAAATTGAAACGATTCACTTAAAGGATTCTTTCACTTAGGGATTCTTTTGGAATCAATAGGAAAAAATCAAATAAGTATTTGATGGCGCTATACACTGTAACCACTGTAGATATATAATGTAAGGATACAAATCCTGCGAAAATAAAACCAGGATCAAAATGATGTTTTGGAAAGGTAAACATCGAGACGCCGATGTAACTAAATATGAAATTCTCGGCTAAGAAATTTAACAGCTCGAACAGTTGTTTTGTACGCTGACGCGAGTCCAGACTCAGGTTGTTATACGTGTAATGAGCCTGGCATATTCCACAGAAGAGAACAGCAACCACGCCTAAAATTTCATAATAAAATCACAATAATCTCTAGATTAATGCAAAAAATTTTTCTATTAGGTTCCATTTAAATAAAGACACTAATCCTAGTTTTTATCAAAAAGGAAATGAGAAACAATTTCTTTCTGCATGAAAAAGCTGTTGAGTCATCGGTGACTACTACTACAGCGACTTTTATTAATAATAGTTCTTAAGAGAAAAAGATTTGTATTATTCTTTATTTCTAATGTCATAATGTAACACATGCAAAAATATTACCTGTAAGATCGGTAGCTTCAGCAATTAAAAATGTACTATATGACATTAAAACGAATAACGCCGACTCTAAGAGAGGAAAATCTCGAACCCTGGTGAACTTGGTCAATAATGCAGTGATGCACCCCATTGTAGCACCGATAAAGAGAGACAAACTAAATATTTCAACAAAGTCTCCGAACGCCTGGAAGAACGCCACGGTTTCGAAACCACCCGATCCCGACTGGTATCGTTCTGCGTAGTTTTGTATTGAGCTGAATTGAAATATCAGAATATTTTCAATATTGCATTTATATTGAGTGTATATTACTAAGTTATAGCTGCAATTATTGTTAAATAATTCTACTTTTTATTGCAAAATCTATACACTGAGAAAAAGTCATAATATTCGCAAGTTACATGTGACATTTTCTCGGATATTTATTAATTATAAAAAAATTTATCTATAGTAACAAAATATACATTTCTGTAAAATATATTTCATTAATTGTAAAAAAAATAAAATAGATGGTTTATTTGAGAAATAAAATTTTATTTTGCCGTTTAAATAAACATTTATTTCAGTGAAGTAAAAATTTCACGAATAAATTTCTAAATGTCTTTTTCTCAGTGTAACGCAACTTCTTTGGCTAATTTCAAATCCTCGATTTTTCTTGTCGCAAGAATTTCTTTGCGAAAGAATCGATTTGACTAAAGAATCCAAAAATCAGAGAAAATAAAGTAAAATTGATTCTACAAAATTTCTGTATACTAACCCACTAAGTACAATGGCGACTGCATCGTTCAATACACTCTCGCCGAATACCAAAGCATATAGATTAACGTCTACATGTAGGTCGTTGAAGATGGATATTATCGTCAGAGGATCCGTAGGCGATATTAGAGCGCCAAAATATAGGGTATCCAGAAATGTGAACGACGTGGAGAGATGTGGTATCAATTGTACAAAGGCATACATCAGAGCTCTATACAGATAATACGATATCGACTCATTAAAATAAAATTTAAGTCGTTAAAGAAAAACACGAACTGTTTTTAGTTATAAATAGCGAGACAAGAAGTAGATAAGCTTGGTCAAAGTACGAGCTATACAAAGATCCATAATATTTTCTGTAAACATATTTTGTTTGTTGCTAAGAGTCTGATAATAGCCATAAACATGCAATAATTAAAAAATAATTAAGTATGAAATATGTGAAAATGGCACCTTCTTAAAAAAAAAGAAAATAAAAGAAAGAGAATATGTATCGATAATAATACAAAATCTATAATAACAGACATGTAATATATAAATTAATACTTTTTCTCAAGATTTCCACAATAAAATAAAAATTAAAGGAGAAGCTTACCCAATAACAAAAGCTGATATAGAAGTTCCTATCAAAGCATACATGAGAATTGCACCTAAATTTCTGAAGAAGTATCTCTGGAAGAATTCGATTATCAAAGAGTTACAAATAGGAATCACATGATGTATATCCCATTATTATGACTTTCCAACAAAAAAATAAGCACATCAATATACTTACACGCTTCAAACTATATCCAGCATGGAAGATAATGGGAGGCAGTATGATATTGAAAAATATTTCAGGATCAAAAGTTGCCTGCAACAACAACCATTACATCCATTAAATAAATTGTTTTAAGAGCAAAATGACTTCAAGTTTAATGTAATAATTAATTAGGTTTACTTAAAAATCAATAAACAACCCAATTAGCTAAGTTTTCTATCGAAAACAAATTTGAAAAAAAGGCTTGCTTCAAATTTTATCGACAAATGCACCAAATTTTGCAAATTCTGTTTTTAATGTCAGCAAATTGATGACAAATATACAAAAATTGTTAACATAACATGAGAACAATTTGACGAAATTGTGCAAAACTTGATGACAAGATCATAGCGAGAATCGACCAAAAACGAAGCCAACTAAAGATTTACTCGCTTTTGCTGCCAATTTACTGTTTGGTACGCCAGTCTTACTAACAAAACATGAACTTATTGTTGGCACATATGGCATTGGATTTGTTACCAACTCTGAGTGAGTTTGATGGCAACAATTTGCTATCAATTTATTTGCTGAAAATTTTCTTTAGACAAATGATATAACTTATCATCTCATGAAAGACTCAGTCACCTTCAAATCGATTTCATTATCTTCCTTGTAAATTTCGCCACGAAACGAATATGCGAATGTTTTGTTTTTTACGACACCACCACCCTTATCTTCCGGGAAACGTAACCATAGCGTGTCCGGTGGTACAGATTGATTGTATTTGCTGGAATTATCTGGAACCACCGGCATATGCAGAATAGTACTGCTCGTCGTGAAACCATAACGTATTATCGCTCCTATGATTAAGCCTATAACAAGTAATTTTATCCTAAATAAATACAATTATCTTGCAGTTTTATCCGAAATAAAACAGAATTATCTAACATGTTATCAGCGGCGATAATTAAAATTATATTTAAGAATGTGTTTTAACGACGTACTTAATTTCATTTCAGATTTCAAAATAAGAATAATATGAGCTATGAAATAATTCACAAATCTTTATTATAAAAGTTGTGAAAATTAAGAAAGTTCGAATTTTATTCATTGTTATCAAACTAAAATTAACTTATCCAAATGTTTAAGAACAATAATAAAACACATATCTATACAAGATCTTCTAAGAAACTTATTATTTCATAATTGTTTTATAAAAACTTCACAAATGTTAATCTCATAAAATATTTTTCTATCATTAGATCATATCCTTAGATTATCAATAATATTATAATCATCGACTTTTATAACTAGACTCTCATTTTGATTATTTTGTAAAAAAGTCTTATTTTTCACATTAATTAATTTATACATAAAAGGAAAAATAATTTTAACAAAAAATTGAGGGGAACTTGACAGGAATTTCATAACATAAATATACGAGTTAAGTAAATGTGTAAAATTTGCAAGTTGTTATTCCATAAATAGACGAAGGTACAATAAAAGAACATGACACATGCCCTTGACGATGCATACTTATGCAATTTTTTTCATATAATATTTACATTCGTGTATTAACAAGAAAAAAGGAAGAACTGAAAATTGTTGATAGCAGACGACTCTCACCATAGATGACAGCCAGACCAGTTTCATGGAGGAACCTCAAGCGGCGGTGCTTGAACATCCATATTGTTAAAACGGTTAAAATCAATAGGAACGTGTAGAGCAGGAGATTGAGACTGTCGAGCCGGTGCAACAGCTGAGCCTTGGCGTCCAATTTGATGTCCGTCGCCGCACCATTGCATAGTTTCAAGAGAAAAATACACAGAACTCCTACGAGTAGGAGACGTACGCCGCCATTCGCCGCCATCTTCGACTAACGTCAGGTCGGTCAGGCGACATGCGCGCGCGTGAGAAAAGATGAGTCACACCAGAGCATCGACGAGATACTATTAAAGACTGTCAACCCTGGGCAAATATATTTCGACGGTATAAATTTGCTATTATTAACATAATATTTGGCTCATACATTAAATTTATGATTTTTTATTATATTAATATTTTATAAATAAATATGCGTACTTGTAAAGTTATAATATCCCACATATATTGCAAGAAAAATTACAACTTTTTCTCTGCTGTTATTATACAATAATTTCTGTTGATAATCATAACTTTGATAGAAATCACAATTTTAAAGAAAAATCGAATCAAGCTTACAATTGTAAACTTGAGTGCTCTCGATTTTCGAATATTTAAAACAGATCGCAAATTATTAACAATTTATCAAATTTACGGCGGCTTTATCGATTATCGTAAGTGACTGATAATTAAAAAAATTATTTAAGCAGAGAGAAACCTGAGCAATGTTCACTTTTCTTAGGATACATCGTCTACTTTTCAAGACTGGAGATGATAAATCGATATTTGGTTCATATAATCGTGTTACATGTAACCTCAAATTACATGACGAAATATCGATTTATCATCTTCGGCCTTGAAAAATTGATGTACCCTAAGAAAAGTGGACGTTGCTAGTTTACATCCACTTTGTTAGAGGGCAGTAGTGCGTGGCAGCATTTGGCGGTTATAAGTTTTGCCATCATGTCCTCTCTCAAGTTTCTCTCTGATTTAAGTGATAATTAATTTTAAAAAATTATCACAGACGCAACAATTAAAAAGTGAAATTGACATGTAATTAGAAATTATAATAAAATCATATAGTTTCATTAAGACGTATAAGTGAGAATTGTTTCTTTAAAGATTGTTTAGACTATATTTCGTATAATTTATTAATAATGGGGAGTTTTTGCAACATGGGTCCAGGTACGGTAAACGCTAAAGTCACGTTATTCTCATGGTATAAAAAATTGCTTTTTACACCATGATTATCCTTTTTTACGCGTCGCATTCGATTTCGGCAGTCAACTTCGTGTAATCGTAGCATTCAACATGATCAACATACGCGGAATTGTGTTTGATTAAACTGTAATAAATGCAACGGATCAATTCGAGAAAAGGAGGAGATTTGACTATACATCGACACCAAGCATTACAACATAATGACTATGTTCAGCAAAAAAAGCTTTATATCTATTGTGAAATTCTTTATGATCGCTCTTGCCTCGCCTAGTCCTTCACTGCATGTATTCATATTAAAGAAAGATGCAAAGCCGCTTTTTCTGTTGAATCTAGCCAATATTTAGTTACAACTCGTGCAACTACTGTTTATCGTATCTGTAAGTGTTAAATTATTTCTTATTTTAATAATAATGGTGATGAATCTATGAACGTAATGGATATGTATATTTATATTCTTTACCATTGTATATTTATATTCTTTATCATTCAACCATAGGACTTCTTATAAAAGTTCAATGACATTTGTATTTAAACAATGGAGTGTTTTTAGAAGGAATCAATTATTGACAGGACTGATATTGTGATATTTTGTAAACATTGTTTAAAACATGAAATATTTTAATGAATAACTAGCTTTGTACAGGAGAAATACACTTAATAAATAATTTTATGCTCCTACAGTCTTAATACACATATTAAAAAGTATAAACATTTTTTTATTTTAAATAATATTTTTCTTTTATTTATTTATTTTAAATATTTCTTGCCTATTATTAAACACACACACACACACACAAGAGAAAGAAAATAGACAAAGGAAGAATCAAATAAATGTGTGCATGTTGATTAAATTAATAATTTAATGCACCTTAAGATAAATCGCTTTTAAAGCAACTTAATATATATAATCTATAACCTCCTGTAATTATCACGTTGCTGAGATGAAGATCCCGATGTCAGTGTCGAATAAATAAATGGCAAAATAGAGGCTAGTGCTAAACAGAGACCAATGACTGGTCGATACCATACCCAAGCGAAACCAATCACTAATAAACTGATAGACATAGAGACTGACATAGTCAGAGACTCGACTGCTATTATACCGCAAAGGAATGTCGAGTTTAGTATAATTGTTTTTAATATATTTGCTAAGCACGTTGCTGCCACAAACAAGACCAACCATCCGAGCCCTCTGCAATAAAAATAATGTCATTTAAACGAATGATAATCTAAATTCCCTGATATAAAAAAATATAATTATAATAAATTTGACAAATAGGGAATTAGCACTGTAATACAATCAATTTCAATATTACTGAATTGTATGTATTCTAATTTAATTATTATTGATTTGTAAACATGTTTCGGCTTAAACTTTTTAGCCATCCTTGGTACATATAGATAATTCCATGTGGAAAGGTAAGCATTCACATGTATAAAATTAAGCTACGGTACTCACATGATTTTCCTTATTTTTAATATCCATGGAAATATTGCCGAATTTATTATAATTATATTTTTTTAATATCATTTAACTATTAATATTTTATGATATATATTTCATATGTATATATTCATTTTAATAATAATAACAAGTGTAACTAAAAATTATATTTAATTCAGTTCTTTGAATTTATCAACGACAAGTATTTACATTTATTTTTATTTAAAATATTTGCTTTTATCTACAATTACCTGACAGTCCAGGTTCGCCAATAATTATGCACATGTTCCAAATGGAACATCTGATCCACTGACATTTTATGCTTTCGTTGAAGCAAAATTTCTTCACCATGAGATGTGTAATATGGTTTGATGGTATCTTTTTCCAATAAGCCAATTACCGAGTAAACATTGCCGTTTTTTCCCGCGTAGGAAAATTGTATTCTAATATCTCCCACCTATAAACAAAGTAAGCCATATTAGAAATAGTTCTATTAGAGATAAATAAGAAAGAAATAAAAAGTTTTTAAGTACAATACACATTGAATGGTGAATGTCTGACCACAGAGAAATTCCAACAGTTTTCTATGAATTTGACAGAACGGAACAATCTCTTTTCTGAAAAAAATTTTTGGAAATTTCGTCTTGAACTTTGTAATCATATTAATTTTAATTCTTGATTCCAAATGGAGTTCTCTAAATTCAAAATATTCTTAAATATTCCCCCTTTAAGAGAAAAAAAACTTCTTGCAGCGACATACTTGAGGATTCCACAAATCTGCGCTGTGGTAATACAATCCAGAATGCATTTTAATGTTCTTTCGCTCTGGTCTCTCATCACTAGTGATCTCTACAAAATCGTTGAATTTTTTTTTCAATTCCATGCCAAGCGTATAAGCGCCAATCTTCACTTCGTCTGCAATCTGCACTTGGCTCTTGATTGGTATTTCCTTGGGATTGTGATGGCCTGTACGAATGTAAAAGTGATCCGAATCCACGAGTTTGTCCTTCCATTCTGTCGTGTAATAATAGTGTTTCTCGCCCTCTGTTATTTCGCCAAAACTAAAAACAAAGATTTAATATATTTGATAGATATATATATATATATGTACTGTAGTGAAATAGTTTTTATGCTACTTAGCATGGATTGAATAGCAATTTTCAATTAAAGAGTTTTTGTTTTCGACAATCAAAATGATCAAGGATAAATGTCTTTTATCACTACCTTGGTTCTTCCTCGATTTCAACCCATTGGTACATCTGAACCCTCCTCTTCAGCTTCACGCTTGATATGATAATTCCATAATCTGGTTCTGTTAACGGTTCGGAGACTAGTAAGGGACCCGATAGATGTATCAAGCGGCCCTCATATTCAGACGATAGCATCATTGAATTAGGAAGCACGATAACATTGTGTAAAGCTTCATCCAAGGAATGCGCTATTTTTACGGCTCTTCCCTGAAAAGATACGAATATAAAAAATAATAAGATTGGAAATAAAACCATTTATGTTAGATATATTACTTTAAATAAGACCATTTATGTTAGATACATTACGAAGCGTCACTACGATCTGAATATTAAGATGTTGAACTATTATATATATTCATTTAAATGAATTAATTTCAGAAATTATATAATTGTGTGTCGATACGGTTATCGGACTTTCAATCTGAACAAACAATCTGAAATATTAATAATCCTCCCCAAATTTCCCAAATTTAATCTTAAAAAAACTGTAATAAACTTATTACGAAAAATATTGTCTCGGCCGGGATTGCCTCAAACCTGGATCTCTTGCTATAAAAAAGGTTTATCTATTACAATTTAATCATAACAATATTGAATTATTTAAATGTCTTTCTTTCCCTCCTTAAACGAGTTGGTCATATGACAGAAAGTGCCACTCGCAAACCTCATTCCAAAATAGTAGACACATTCCAGTGGCAAACATGATGGACCCAATTATCGCTGTCAGCCACGATTGCTTGAATTGTTCCGAGATCGTCATCGGCATTTGATTCACAGAGCCGGCTTGTCTTCCATTCTGACAATTCTGACGAAGTCCGTCTACATTTCTTTGTTGACTATTCTGCTACAAAACGTACGTTCCGAAAGTCTATCTTGTTCTGTTTCATCTCAATAATTAACATAAAGCGAGAATAATATATCTTATGTACAAGGTAAAGGGAACTTACATTCATACGATACATCCTGACGCCAACCGACGTCAGTCGTATTCTTGGAGCCACCAACGAGATACTATTAACACACTGTGCTATTAAGATGACTATGGAAGTTCGCGTGCTGTTAAAATTTAAATGTAAGAATTAAGAGTAAGAAATTAATAATACAGTACTAATGTCATGATTTATTAGTTTCTTAGACATGTATATATGTCTAAAACGTATATATAATACTCGATTTTTATTAAAAACTGTGATTTTAATGTTATCATCCGAGTTTGATTATCAATAGAGATGATAAACAGAGAAAAATTGTAATCTTTTTGCAATATATAGGATACTATAGTTTTACAAGCATGCATATTTATTTATGAATCATTTATATAATAAAAAATCATGAATTTAATAATGTATTAGCCAAATATTTATGTTGATAATAGCAAATTTATATCAATTATCGATAATGTCAGCGTTTTTCAATTATCTCTGGGCCCTCGGGGCCCTTTTTTTATACTGCCGAAAATTTCCCCAGGAGTCTTAATAGTATCTTGTCGGTGCTTTAGCCCATCCTAGATGTATTTTAAACATTTTATAGAGACTATTTTATAATTTAATTCTTTTATATGTATATGTTGGTGATATAATTTATAATTGCTACGTGGGATCTGTTATTTATTGCGAGTACGGAAAATCTATAGTTTGTATAACGTACTATAGATTTTTATAGTTTACATAGTCTACATTATCTACATAACAAAAAATCCATGTAAACCTCACGTAAATTTCACGTAAATCCGTGTATGGTACAACTCTGTTTTAGTTAAGTTTAGTGGAGATTTAAACCAGTGTTTAGCGAAGCTTTAAACCCATTTAGCAAAGACTCGAATCCCATTTAATTCAACTTGATTCTGTCGGTAATAATAATCTCTGTAAATAGTACTAAAAAGTTTGAGGTTATAACCATAATAACTAAGACGTTTGTTTTGTTCTGAAATATTTATTTAGACACGAAAAGAAGCTCTATTATTTCACAGCACAATGTCAACACGATTGTAAGTCTCCGCAATATTTAATGCGATAATTAGATAACAATAATTTTGAATTGAAATTAAACTTTAGATGCGATAGATATTTCTAACCTTATTTTAATTTATTAATTATTAGAATCCAACCGAAACTTTTATAGAAACTGAAAACGAACACTTATTACGTGTCAGTTTCGAATCATAGGTTTTCTTTATAAATATTAATTTTAATATGTGTAATTATTATTTCAATAATTAAATTATGTTTCTGAAGAAGTATTTATATTCTTTGGCCAAAATTGACACACAACTGAAATTTCAATTTTCGATTTCGGCCGAAATTAATTATTTTAGTAAATTACGATTTATAAAGAAAATGTAAACGATATATGGGCATATCTATACATGTGGTTTTTATAGGATTCCTATTTTTTCATTTTGGTTTTGGTTTTGATTGAAATTGACATGGAGCCGAGTGTTTTGGTTTAGTTTTGGCAAAAGTTTTGATCAGACTATTATACTTTATGTATAAATTACATGATTTTGATTATATGATTTTAAATTAATATTCTAGTTATCCTATGTATCAAAGAGGCAATCCACAATTAAGAGTTTTCCTACCAAATTTCTGGATGAAGCTAATTAAAGCGCCTACAGATCAGCTTCCAAATATTGTACAGTTTCACTGCTCTATGAAAATGTCTAAATACGATATAAAGAATTATCTAGAGAAAATTTATAATGTCAACGTAATTGAAGTGAGGACAAGAATAGCGATGGGTAGATTTAAGAGGGATCAATTGCAGCATTCAGTCATTAAGGAAGATGATAGAAAATTGGCCTACGTCGTACTGGTTAGATTGCAACTATTCTCTTGTTTCTTTTTATAGAAAGGGATTTAGAATTTTATTAGAAAAAAATAACTTTATTCACTCCTTGTAGCCGAAGGACCAGTCATTTGTGTTTCCTGATATATTCAAAAATGTAAAAGATGATATTGATAAAGAAAGTATAGACGTAGCTAAAAAGGACATGCAGAATTTCTTAGGACCTAACAAAGCTCCTGGATTACCTGGTTGGTTTAGGATATAATGCGTATGTATATTGTTTCGATATTTAAGGATTTGTAACCAATAAAACACTTGTTACTATTCTTAGTATTGTTTAACTTCCTGTACAATCACAATTTTTTAATTATTTACAATCTAATGAACTTTTTTATATCTCTTGTATAGGAGGATTTTGTTAATGGTAAGACTGATTAGAGAAATCTATTTTTTAAATATATACTTTATATAAAATAGTTTTTATTACAAAATTAAATTAACAAATTATATGTATAAAGATTAAAACATTAAATTATAAATGGTGGTTTTCCGTTAATTGCAGCTAATATTTTTTTGTTTCTCAACATCGTCACGTGATTACCTTCAACATAATGTACCTTCACTACGTTTTGAGTTACCTTAAATAATTGCATACTTCATTAATCAAAAATTTTGATAATTTGATTTATTTAATACAGATTAATGTAATTTTTTTAAATACCTTGGACAAACCATAATCCTCTTCAATCGGTGGTAACTTCAACGGGTGTGTAGGTTTTAGCAAAATTATAGAAGACTTAATAGGTGCCAAATTTGAAGAATCATATTCTTGGAGAGCGAATAAATGTTTGTAAATTGTTGTACACAGCGTCTTTAAATTTGTAAATGAAAGTGGTGCATTTACAACTAAGCACTGTTTGGCAAAAATATCATATCTTTCGTTCCAAGTATCACAATTCTTCAATTCCATTAGAATCTATCAAATTATCCATTTTGTTTTTATATACAAGACCAAAGAAAAGAACAAAAAATTGATAGCAATTTACATAAAAAACAGAATCATATTAGAAATGTATCATAAATTAATTTAATATACCATAGTCTAAGATGAAAATTATACCTTTTCACTACTTCCTGGTGAATAAATTTCCATAATATTAGTTAGAACGTAAATCTGAAGGTCTAATTCAGACTTTGGCATATAATATTTGTATACCCTTCGTAATAATTCAGGAGCGCCATCGATGAGAATCAGTCGGCCTTTAAAATTCATAGCTTCCAATCTTCTTGTTAACTCAACTGCGATAACAGATCCGAAGGAGAATCCTACCATTACAAAATCTTTCCCATTTCTCAGCTTTGGTATTATGTACTGTAAATACATGAAAGTTTTCGATGTGAACTTTATGCCCCTCAAATAAAAACAACATATTCGTCAATATAACAGGAATTACTGATATAGTAATAAGTTCACTGGTACCTTTATGAGATGATCAGTTTTCTCTGATATAATGTTTGTAGTAGGATCAATATTGCTTGTGTTATAATGGAAGGATGTTGCTGAAAATAAAATATCTGGTGCTAAATGATTAAATATAGTTCCACATCCGTCAACACCTGGTATAAGAAATACTTCTGTTCCCTGTCCTTTAGTCGAGAGAGTGGAATAAGTTTGCGAAATAAAATCTTCATCCTTTATAGCAAGAACTAAATATGCTAAATATTGTGGCTTCTCTGTGTTGAGTTTTTTTCTATTATGTATATTATTATCACTGATCTTTGTGGATATTTCAATGAGTTTTGCAAAAGTAAGATTTCGTATTTCTTGTACTGTGAAAAGAATATTAAACTCTCGTTCCAGAGTTTGTCTGATTTCCACGGCTATCATGGAGTCCATTCCAAGTTCGGCCAGAGATGAATTTGGACTTACAACTTTTATGTCGCTTATGTCTGTAGTATAAAATAGATTATTATTATGATTGTTTTGTACTATCCCATATCATTCATAAATTGGTTTTGTAAAAAATATATGCACAGGAAAATATTATCTACCTAAAATATTAGTGACAGTTTCTATCAGATTGCTAAATCCAGAAAATCTTGTTTTTTTCTCAGCTACAACCATGCTGCTTACAATTGGCCGGCTTTGAAGTAAAAACTTATCGAGTTCGTTAAGACAGCAGGAAATCTTTTGTTGTAGAGTGCCACCGATAATTAATTCTTTATTGTCCTCCTGCATGTCAGCGACAAATCCCACTTCACCTACAGCCCCCCATTGAATCGCTAATCCAGGCAATCCTTCCTCCACCCTCTTTTCGCAAATTCTCTCCATGATGGAGTTAGCCATGCCATAATTAGTTTGCTCAGCGTTTCCTCTGCCGCAGGAAACGGAAGAGAACACCACAAAATGCCGCAAGCTAAGACAGATTTTTCTAGAAAGTTTGTCCAATGTTTGAGTTGCTCGAGCCTTTGATAAGAAGGGCTCCGCGAACGTTTCTGCAGTTTGATTCTTCAAGAAGCTGTCCTTCAGTACCAAACCGAGATTGAATATTGCATCCACCGGTGCTTCTTTTTCCACACTTCGTAAAAGGCATTCGCAGTCTTTGGTGTCAGCAATATCGATATTTTTGATGATCAGAACTTTTACACCATATGATTTCCACAGTCGAATTTTCATGCGCTGGTAACCGTTTTTTATTCCAGTTCGTGAAATTAAAATAACATTTCTGGCACCACGAAGTATAAGCCAGTCGGTTAACTCTAATCCAAATCCACCCAGACCTCCTAGTATAATGTAACTTCTATCTCTGAGACAATAATAGCGACGATATGCGAGAATGTGCTTATCTAAAGGTTCATTCTTTTCATGGATATTTATAATTATCTATAAAAAAATTACACTAAGAATATATATTATGTGTGATAGAAGTTTAGACAAAACTATTATTTGTAATAATAACTCTATCTGCTACTATTAATTAGTACATACCTTTCCTATATGTTTTCCACTCGCCATGTACCTAAAAGCTTTTTCAATATCTGTTTTTGGAAAAATTGTTACTTGAATTGGTTTGATTGTTCCATTTTCAAGACCATCAGTTACCATTTTGCACAATAGCGACTTATACTTGTGATTATCAGTGAATAAATTATCCAATATAATTCCATGAAAACTGATACCTTTTTGGAACACAGACATATCTAGGGGATTATTAGAAATAGTATCAAATTTGCCAATCTCTAAGAATCGTCCGTTTTGAGTTAAACACCGAATGGAGGCGATTAATTTTTCTTCCGCCAATGAATTTAACACAATGTCGACTCCGCGACCTTTCGTCTGCTGCATTATCATTTGTTCAAAACTAGTATCTCGAGAATTTCCAATATGTTCATCTAAAATAGTTGGAAATAATTTTTTAATAAAATTTCGTTTATCACTCGTGCCCACGGTAGTAAACACCTCGCATCCTTCTTTGAGAGCAAGATGAATAGCTGCTTGTCCAACGCCTCCAGTACCAGAATGTACAAGTATTTTATCGCTTCTTTTTATTTTTCCGTAAATGTATAGGGCTAAGTAAACCGTACTGTAAATCACCGGGACTGTCGCTGCTTCTTCAAATGTCCACGTGTCGGGTATTTTCCAACACAGATCTTTATCTTTCACAACAACGTTTGCTATACAACTAAAAAGAATAATTTTAATTCAGTTTCAATTTTATGATATTACATAACAAACTAATTTTATAAAGTATTATACTCAGTCTCACGAATTCCCATTACACGTTGTTTGTTAGCATCCCATCCCACGTATTCCATTCCAATAGGAAAATATTGATCCAACCGTCCTTTCAAAAGCGTTTGAGTACATATTATTTTACCAGTCGTAAGCAATACATCTTTGAAATTCAGGGATGAGTAAACGACATTTACTAAATCTTCATGACGAGACTCAACTGATCTATTATTTTCTACCCAATAAAGTGTACTTAGATCAGCACAAACCTATAGAAAATTTTTCATATCATAACGTGTCACATATATAATAAAATGTATAAATAAAAACAGCGTGACAGTATTAAAAAGACGAGATACATAATATTGTATAATGATAGCAAGTAATATGTTTTGAAAAGATTTATACGTACCAATTGACGGACATGAGCGGTAGGTACAGGTCTGGCTTCGGGTTGTGGTAATTTTAAATGTCTGTATGATCCCCAAGTTTTATTAGAGCGTAGTACATTAATGGTCATATCTTTCTGTAATTGCTCTAGATAGAAGGGATCTTCAAGAGAGAATTTAGGTGCTTCCTTATCTTGAACGAGCACACCTCTAACAAGTTCTCCGCCTGGCTCTTTTCTCAAACAATTAATAAAACCCAATAAACCGCATTCAAAATCTCTCTCTCCAACAATTATGATTCTATTATTCTCATCGAGCTTGTTCTCATCGTCCATCAGCGACTTTAGATTTTCCAGCCAATTAAAGTTATCATTACTTATATGGACAACAATGCTTTTTTCTATCAAAATTTTCTTCTTTAGAAGTACAATCATTTCTTCATCAGTGCACTTTTCAAGAACAACATTTAATTCGTATTGTTGTAAATGTTTTTTATAGTCAATTATATATTTTTCACGCGTCAACAGGTAACCACCTTCTCTCAAAAATGGCAATAGTTGCTTTAACGATTCGTGTTGTTTGGTCAAAAGGTTGAATCCAGCAACAATTAAAGCTTTGTTATTTAAAGATGGTTTTTCAGAATCTTTGATTGAAAAGTTTTGCGATAAATCTGGGCTAAAACGATTCGGTGATGTTAATAGAGTGATACTCGTTTGTATTAACGGCATGTCATTAAATGCCTCAAGCAGCAACGAAGATGAAAGATATTCTAATGTAACATCATCTTCATCTTTCACTAGCTCCACAACCTCCACATTAATAATTTGATTATCTTCTAGAGCAAGTTGTGCTGATATCCGAATTGCTTCGTTTAAAGGAATCTTAATGCGATCACAATGAGCTACAAATGTATATTCTTCAAGAACAGTATCTTGGGCTAAATTCCGACGATTGATTTGAGTGGTGTTAAAACCTCGTATCTCTATTCCACCAGCTTTAATCGTGTCTATCTCTTTGTAAATTTGTATTGGTAATGCTGTAATACATAATAATATATTTTATGTCAGAGATTTTTTATATGATATTTATATATTGAACAAATAACTCTCAGTAATTGAAAAACAATTACGTTTATCAATGTCTGTTATAACTTTTCCACCATCCTGTAGTTTCGAAGCGTGAAGCACTGGATTGATCACTATTTTTCGAATACTCGTAGGAATATATAGATCTCTAGTATCGTATCCGATAAGTTTCATCTGTAACATAGAGTCCATGAATGTTACCCAATTATTTCTCCACATGATGTGTCCTTTTTCACATGATATAGATGCACTCTTCAATCCACGAAACAAATTGCTGTACTGATATCCACGCAATTTCAATTCCTTGTAGATATCACGTGCTGTCATGAGTTCTTCTTCATCATTATTTTCCAGTAATAGATTTGTCGGAATCATTTCTTGTTCCGGATTCAATGTCTCGTACACTGTACCTGTCACAATAACTCTATCTCCTTCGGTTATTTCAAACTTCCCATCTGTAATATTTTTATATATTCGTTTATACGCATTCTTATGATTATGCTACTTTAAAGTTACCTTTTTAATACCTTTCTGTATCGCAATTTTCAAATTTACAGCATAATTTTTCGACAAATAAACAGCACGAATAAAGTTTACATCTTTAAAAACTATCGATAGTGTTTTGTATATTTGCCCTTTTATCATGCCGACAGTTTGCCAAACAAGTGCAAGATAACTTGTCGCGGGTAACAAATTGTTTCCATCAATAACATGACCGCTCATATAATCATAATCCTCATTGTTGAGTAAAATTTCGACATATCTTTCTCTATATTTTATGGACTTTTGTATTTTATACTTTGGTACAAACCAATCTTCGGAATGATTCCATCTATTGATATGATATTAAAAAGTAATATATGTTTTATTTATTATATAATTATATATATATATTATTATATATTATTACATTTTTAAATATTTAAAATTTAAAAAAATTGCAGTTTTGGGGACCCATTCTTCCTACATTAAACTTTCAAAGAACGCAACAAAATTTTTTCGATTTTTTTTTACGATATCAATGAAGCTGTCCTTTGAAATTCTATTCCTTTCTAGTCCTTTTTTTCTTAAATGCATTGTTAAGAACTTTTCGACATTTACATGATTCTTTTATCGATATATAACCTTTTGTGACATGCGAAAAAGTTACAAACATTCCCAAAATTCTGTATGTATATATCTATTTATCTTATATGAACAATCTCTAAATTACAATTACGGCAATTTCTTATACCTGATCGATGGAGAAATCATAGGAGTTCCTCTGCTAACTGGATATTCCACCGGTGGATACAAATTTGCAACTTGCGGCTGTAGTCCAGAGTTGTAGAGCCTTCCAATTTCTTGAAAAATTACATTGTTATTTTGTTCAGTGCATTGAGTCAATACAATGTTTGTTACTTCTGGATGCAAAGATTCTTTCAATATATTTTGCAGAACGCCGCATGGTGCGAGTTCGATAGTAATAGCGTTACTCGGAATTAAATACAATGTTTGTTCAAAAAGAACGGTGTTTAATATACTATGGGTATGATAGTTCGCGGATGATAATTTTGATGCTGAATTAACCCATTCGGTACGAGGTACGGAAGTGCTGATCCACTTTGGACTTCGTTTCTTCGGCCAGGGTATTATTTTGTTCAAATTAAGTAAAAGTTGAGTTTCCGCGGATGCGAGATACGAACTATGATACGGTATGTCACAATAGATCTCCTTTACATAAATGTTAATCATCTGATAAAAAAAAATGCAACACATACAATTGTAGCAAATTATATCTTGAACTTAACGATTCGATATTTTAATAACTATTAAATAAATTTTTTCATCCATTTAGAAAATATAAGTCCTATCTTCAAATTTACCTGTAATTTTTTCATGAATTCTTGTACGGATTCTATAGGTCCACTCACAACGCTATTGTTCTCACTATTGCGGCATACTATTTGAATGTCCGTTGGACATATGTTTTTAAGATAATCGTAACCGATACTGACAATCGCCATTGAGCTACGAATTATTTTTCCTTCAGCACATGTCAAACCAATAAAGTATGCTGATAAAATAGTTTGTTCAATGGTGAGACATCCATCTGCGTACGCGCAACCGAGTTCACCGCCAGAATGACTAATCATGTAATCCGGATTAATTCCTAAGGATGTTAGGAGATCTACTAAGCCGACCTACAAGTATATTCCAAATACTTATAACAGAATACCGTGTTTAAAAAATTTTTTGCTGAAAAATAATAATATGAAAATAATAAAATGTAATGAAATATCTAATAACGACATAAAAAAGATGTTTATCGTAGGTATATTTTTCACTGATATAATATAATTGATACTAACGTATACCTGTGTGAAATATAATATTATACCTGAATAGCAATGATTCCAAGAAACGCGTTTAATGCGTTTTCGCATACTTCTGTATTTGTCAAAATGTTCTTGACGTTTATATTATATGGTTTTAAAATATTGTCGCATTTTCTTATTGTTTTTGCAAAAACGTGAAATTTTAATAAGTTTCGACCTGATAAAATTTTAATTAAAAAATTATACTATTTTATTTAGATCCCCTTATAAACAAATTATAGAATATTAAATATATACCCATTCCTGGCCACTGCGAACCTAAAGCTGAAAATACGAAGCAGACAGGTCTTTTCACGGTATTACAATTTTGAATTTCTTTTATTGAATTTTGTTGGATAGAATTCAGTATTATGTATCCTCTCCATGAGTGACCGTCTAGATTGTCTGCATAGATGTCATGTAATAAACGGATGTATTCTACATCTATTGGATGATTAGCAATCTATAACGATAAATTTCTTGAAATAAAAATTACTATATAGTGTCTTTAATATTTGAAACTCTCAAATGAGTTTTTTAAATGTCTACTAACATCGTTTAAAAACAACTTCACTGATTCTTCAGTGCGTCCAGATAATATGACAAGTCTAGGTAAATCATCATTCGGTGCTCCATTATTAACTTTCTGTTTACGATTCCATTTTAATAACATATGAGCGTTGGCTCCTCCAAAACCGAAAGAATTTATTCCTATATAACCGTTTGTAATGGGCGTTGGTTCTTGAACGACATGGATTTTTTCATTTTTTAAGGCATTTATATCATCTCGTGGTGATTTATAATTGATGTTTGGTGGAATAAAACCAGTTTCGAAGGCTATTATTGTCTTCAAAAAGTAAATTAATTTTATAATATAAAGATGTAAAAATCATTATTTATTAGGTGTTGGAATTAATTCGTAGCGTTTTTTAATAAAAGAATGTTATTTATTTCACATGAGCATTAAAAAATACATTAATGAAAGTACTTCCCATCACTTGTAAAACGCTACGAATTAATTCCAACACCTAATATAAAAAAATAAATTCTAGTGTTTCTTGAAGTAGATATATAAAAGAGAAAAATAACATTTTTAATACCGAAAAATGTAGAAAATTGATAAAAGTGTAGAAAATTTTTGAAAATATTAAAATATTATATAAAACTTATATGTGATACTACGTTGGTCATTCGATAAGTCTGGTAAATCTTTATGAGTAAATCTTTTTGACACCTGGAAAGTATCATTCTTCAAACTCTTCCAGGTCAAATTTCAACCAGAATTGATGCGTTATTCACGTTTGGTAGTTGTTTAAAACGAACGAGAAATTAAGCATCATTAAATGGATTGTTACACCATTTTATAAAGATTATCAGACTTATCGAAAAATCCTCGTATACAACTATTGAACATTTTGTTTCGTGACGAAGAGAGCGTATATTTATTATGTAACTATTGGTTTACACTTATTATGTATATAGCAAATGTAAAATAGCCTATACATATACGAAAACACAGTGTTGATCTTAACACATTTACACTGACCGTATTCTGTTGTCATTAGTTCTAAGTTAAATAAAGTTTGATTTAAAAAATTATAATATATTTGTTTATATTAAAAATGGTTGTGTATAGGCCTGCGTGTAATATGTATCTGAAAATAAGTGTAAATATGTATATTACACACTTTGCACAATTACACAGAAATAAGAAACCTGAAAAATAGTATCACATGTGTTGTATAATAATATACGTGTTTTATAATGTATTTAATAGTTTATTATTTTAATAATTTTCTCTATGCTTCCTAATATTATAAATGTTATTTTTCTTTTTCATATATATTAAGAAATAATTGATTTTTATGTATTAGTCCAAAATTAATTCCAGATATACAATTTTTTATGAATATGTATAAAATAAATCGCTGAAATCTATGTATAATTCATACTGAAAACTAATCAATGACAGAGATTTCGACAATTTCAGCGATTTATTTCTAGCAGATTCGATGTCGATTTGATGTCGATTCCATTATTATTTCTGACTGGGATATTAATTCCAATATTCAAATTAATTCAAATAAGAATGTAAAAAGATTTTCAAAACGGTAAAAAATTTTTCATGCATATTGTGACTTACCGAATAATTTTTACAAAAAAATAAGTCTTTTGTTTGTAAATACATATACATATACGTGTATGTGATTGAAAAATCACTGTGCGTAAAATAAAAGCAAATTCTATAGTAATAAATAAAAATGGTAGCTACACTTGTTTTACCTTAGCGATTTGAATAAAAGCACTTGCAGGTTCACTATGACCAAGATTGGATTTTACGGAGCCGATCATTAATGGAGTTTCTCTATTTTTACACAAACTGTTATAGATAGCAGTGACTTCCTGTGGATCGCCAATTTTAGTACCGGTACCATGTGTTTCAATGTAATCCAAGCAAGATGTCAATATTCCGCATTCATTGTAATATTCCTTTAGTAAAGTACTTTGCATTAGCAAGGATGGATATGTTATTCCTTCTTCTTTGTAACCGTCACTGTTTAATTTAATATGTGGACATATAGCATAAATTCTCTTTGCATTTTTTGCCTTTTGAAGATATACTATTGCCACTGCTTCGCTACGCGAATAACCGTTTCCATTGGAATCGAAAGGTCTGCAATAGCCCTCGGGTGATAAAACACCTACATATAATATAAAGTCTTGTATCATATCATATATATGGATATAAATATGCATTTTTTAATATATTTTGTATTTTTTATGTATTTCACACTCACATTATTAAATTAAGTTATTATTAAAAAATTAAATAATTATCAGTTTTATTCTCTATAAAGTAATATTCTGTTTTGAAAAATATCTTATTACAAATGTTTTATCGAGATTATGCAACTCATTAAAATTTATTTATTTTTTGTGAATTAGAGACGTGCAAACTACTAAATTTTACATCTAGCTTATTATTATAGTAAGTAGATCAATCAGTTTTAAGTAAAAATATTAAAATTAGTAAATTAATTATAAAAATACCAAGACGAGCGTATTGCAGACTAATAATCGGATGCAAACATAGATTTCCAGCTCCAATTATCGCGTCTTCGCATTTTCCCGACATAATACAATGATAACCAAGGGCCATGGCATAAAGACTAGAACTACATGCTGTATCAACGGTATAAGATGGTCCTTTTAGATCCAAGTAGTACGAAATCACATTTGCCATTGTAGATTTGCTACATCCAACGATTTGAAAATCGTCTAACTATTTACAAAACATTAGCGTTTATAATTTTCGTATATGACTTATAAAGTTATTATTAGTAATCTCTACTTTGCTTATGCAGGATGAATCATTAATAATAATATTAGAGACTGTTATTTTTAATATTAAACGGAATATAAAATTTTTACTTTCTATAATCCATTTAGTATCGAAAATAACATTCTATGATAAAATTAGTTTTTTTCTATGTTGAGTTTTTCTAACTTCAAAGATGATTATTCTATCTTTGTTCTTCTCATTGGAATTGTATGACTTTTATGAGTTAAAAAAAAAAGTTTGTCAATCAACTCTTTTCGTAATTGTACGCTTGTTATTCATCCTGTATGCATGTATCAATAATTTTTTTACCTGATAATTCTCATATAGAAATTTCTCTTGTCCTTCAACATAAGATGTGCCTATGATCACAGCAGTATTTTTTCCTTGTAATTGCTTTGGATTAATTCCTGCATCGATAATTGCTTCATAAGAATGTTCCAGAAACATTCTCCCTTCGGGCATGAGTACGTGTGCTTGCTTGAAAGATAATCCAAAGAAATCCGCATCAAATTTTTCCAAATTGTTAATTGTTCCCATACGCGTTGGTAAGTCTGGATGCTCTAATGAAAGATAAATGTTTTCACATAAAGATGTTATGTTCCTTCTTCATATCTTTAGATGGAATTTTAATTTGAAGTACACTTCTTTAACAAATAAGTATGTAATTACATTTAGTACAGATGAAGTGGTATATTATTCTGTCTCAACCAATCATACATAAATGCAAAAGTGTAACTATGAATTTGAATTTTTACCTTTTTCCCATCGGCCATGATCTGCTCTGACGAGATCAATTTTATTGAATAAGTTTTCTCGTAAATGATTCATGTTATCTGAACCAGGAAATCTGCCAGCAATACCAGATATAACGATCTCCTCGTCGAAATCAATATCATTCCATCTATATGCTTCTTTGTCATCCATGGTTTTTATTATTTTTTCAGATAATCTAGAAAAATGTTATGTGTTTCTTATGTGGTTATTTTTTTTATTCATGCTGTCAATTATACCTGATTCTGATATTTATAATATTGCTATAGTATCGTTTGAGTTACAGATGAGAAATGCGTTTAAACTTTTTAACGACAGGCACTTTTTATACAAACTCATATGAGTGTTGTAATATTAAAACGTTGACTATTAGTGTTGCATACGTTTTATACCGGGAAAATTTACGCGCCGTCTGACTTATACTGTGACCTATGCAAAGTCAAACAAGAATTTTTTACATCTTAAGCGATTTAATTATTATATTTTGAGCGATCTAATTATTTTCGTGGTTTAATTATTTTCAATGCAATTCACCGGTTAAAATAATACATATTTTTTTTTGTAAAAGTAATTATCTTTATTTATAAGCAATTATCTTTATCAGTTCTTTTTATTACTTAATTTAAACAATTTAGCTACATGTATATTTTATTTTTTCCGATGAGAGCTTTTTATGATTGCATTCCATTTGACATTTGTAATGCTCTTAGAATCATTGCATTCTTGTTGTTGATCAAATATTAAACAAGAATAAATGAGATTTGCAAATGTTGTAAGTACCAAATGGAACGCATTCTATACATATTATCCCAGTAAGCAAGAAACATTTTGGAACATTTCAGTAGCATTGTAGCAATGTTACAATGTTGCTACAATGTTGTTGAAATGTTTCAAAATGTTTCTTGTTTATTGGGATAATATGTATAGAGTGCGTTCCATTTGGTGCTTACAACATTTGCCTCATTTATTCTTGTTTTTAATTTTGTCATTAGTACTTTGTAGTTTGTCATTAATACTTGATCAATAACAAAAATGCAATGATTCTTATAATTGCACGCCAAAATTATTTTCAGTATTTAAACTGAACCGGTGTAACAGTTTTATAAATTAAAGTAAATGTTGTTATGATACTTTTTAATGTTCATACAATATTACAGTAATACTAAATAATGTTACTTTTAATAATCATGTAATATTATCAGAATATATAACCATCCATTAATATTTTAAGAATATTATTTAATTTCAATAAAATATTCTTCAAATTTTACATTTAATATTCTGGAAATATGTCTGAAATATTATTTAATATTAAATAATATTATATTATTATATTATATTAAATATCTCTATAAGATTATAATTATGCTAAATATAATTTCTATTTATTTTAAATTAAGAAAAAATATTGAGTAAGACGTATATCGTATTTTTAAACAGTATTCACTAGAATATTTCTAAATTTTATAGGTGATTCTAAATTTTTGGCTTAGCGTTTGTTTTTTTAAGTTTTTGCTCCTATGTTGTTAGTTAAAGCATTTCCGTTTGAGAAAGAGGAGAGAAAGAGAGAGAGAGAGAGAGAGAGAGAGAGAAAGACAGAGAGAAAAAGGAAAAGAGAAGGAGAATATAAAGTATTCTCATCGGGATACATGTACATGGAATTGAAGTTTCATGTTTCGAAAATAAAAATTTCAATTCATGTATGAATAATGTATAAAATAGCGGCCAATATTTAAGTAGGACAATAGGTCAAAATGATTAAAAACAGTATATTAAAATAAATCATGCCTTTTAATATCAAAAACTGACTTTTAACTATCATTTCGTAATTATTTTTTTAATGACTTGTTCTGCCTGAATAATGTATTAATGGTATGCATTATTGAGGCAGAAGGTTATTTATTGTAAAGGCAAATTATAACAACACGAATGACTGTTTTCCGACTTACAGTCAACTTTTCTCAGTCGACTTACGAATATGAAAAATCAACTGTCAGTTGGCCGTTCTTAGTTAGTGACTTATCGACAAGCAGCCGCCTAATAGTCGACAGCAGTCGACTATTTGCTGATTATTAATGGACTTCTGAAAGTCGACTAAAAGTCAATTGACTGTTTTAATCAATTATGTTTTAGTCAACTATAAGTCGGGGCGAAAGCCACGCGGCGGAACTTTAGCCTTTAGATATTCAAGAGTAGTCCAGCGCTACTATAAAGAAGTAAGGCTTCGCAAAACCAATATTTTCTCCCTCGAATTAGAGCGAGCTCCAAAAAGGACTTCTTCTCAGATATCAGATCTCTCTATGTATAACATAGTACCTTTAGTTACGTTCCACTTTTTTGTTAACTTATTGGGCATTGATGACCATAAAATATCTTTTAATTTTCGCAATGCTTGAAGTTAACAAAAAAGTGTGGAACATTAACCATTTAAAAGTTGACTATTCGGTAGTTTGTCAATTTTTATTAACTCGATTAATAATAGTCGATTATTTTCAGGATATTATAGGGAATTTTTACAATAACGTAAATCCAGATATGGCAAGCGCGATTTTATATTTACTTCACGGAAAAAGATAATTTTGCTATATGTATGTGAATGCAAAAGGCTTGCAAAATTTAACTGTCAAATTTGTTTGTTGTTCATAGCAAATAAATTGGTTTGTGCCTAGCGCATTTTTTTTTCTTTGAGATATCAAAAGCACTTGTAGCCAAGTAATGGTTTAACTTATTCCTTAAAAAAGTTTGTCATTTTGATGCGTTCATGCGTTGCAGACCTTAGTTTCTTTATATCTTTTGATTAGAACTACTAAACCAGCATTGCATGTTTAAAACATTTATATTTAAAATGAATATCTGAGAATGAATTACATCATGTCAACATGAATTATTTATTTTTTTAAAGAACAAAGCAATGCGTTTTATTTTGTTTTAAACATGCTTTTTAAATATTGTTTAAAACATGTTTAAAATGTTTTGTTTCTCAAAAAAAAAAAAAAAAAGATTTTTAATTCTGAATTTCAAATTCTGATTTCAAAACGCCTTGAAAGTTCACTCTGAGTTGATTCGTGCATGATTACGACTAAAAAATTAATCACGTGAATATAGAATGCCATCAATTAGGATGGAAACGCGGTTGGTTGTAAGTGGATCCGGAGATTGATTGGAATTTATATTGATAATCATAACTCACACAACACACGAATGACAGTTTGTCGACTTATAATCGACTTTTTCCAGTCGGCGTATAGTAGACTATTATAGTTGACTATTTGTTGGCTATTAGACTATGTTAGTCGACTGTAAATCGATTTAAAATTGACAAAAGCTCTATTTTTCACGCACGCACGTACATACACACTGAACTATATATACACTGTAATAGGCATCGAGGAAAATTTGTGGCCACAATTTGATCAGCCATCATTTTAGTTGGGACGATATTTGAGCGAAAGAAACATTCGCGCGCACGCTGCGATCGATATATCGATCAATGTATTATCGATATATGGAAATCTATTTGGATATGAAACATTTGGGTATGTAAACAAAAATAATGTCACTTTAATTTTATTAGTACATTTAATAAAGTAACATTAATAACACTTTTCATATCCTACATCGTTAATACATGGAATTGATATATTTAATACAAAAATTCTTACCTATGAAATGAAATGTCCTTTTTATTTCTTTACCCGGACATACAGCACTTCATGTTGATGCTTTGACAATCGAAAATTAATTTGTGAGATTATCATTATTTCAAATAAGTTAATACGAAATAAAATATATGTTATGTAAAATATATAAAAGAATAGAAATATATATTTATCTCAACATCTAACTTTGATCGCTTAGAGTTTCTTGTACTTAAATGAGAAAATATATGTATATATAGGAAAATGTATTTTGTATTGCATTACCCTGTCTATTTTATTTTACCTGCATGTAATAATTCTATTTTATTTGCACGAACATTTTCAAAAACATGCTAATTTATTATAGAATAATATTATCGCTAATAATTGTATTAAAATATTTATTATATAAATTTCTTCAAAATGTTCATTCCTGTATAACTGATTATGTTGTTTTATATGATAATAAGAGTTTACATGAGTATATTGTGCTTCTTTGGAAAATAAAATTTATTATAATAAGACCTTCCAGCTAACCAATATTGAAAATAAGTTATCGAATAATCAATTTCTGGATAATTAATGTTACTTTTGTATTAATTTATTGGGCACTGATAAGATATCTTTCAGTCATCAATGCCCAATAACTTAATAAAGAAGTGGAATATTAACCATACAGAAGTTGACTATTTGATAATTTGTCAATTTTAGTTAACTGGATTAATAATAATCGATTATTATCGAGACGATAGTCGACTATTAGTCGACATTCGGGCTGACTTTGAAATCTTGATTTCTCCAGTCAACTTATAATTGACTTTTAGTCGACTTCGTGTTGTTTGGGAAATTACAAAAAAACAATTTATATATTTGAGAAAATTTATATACGATTTTTGAGAATTTGTTACGATGCTTTATTAAGTATTTATTGTAAGATTGTAACGCAATCCTGCAATCTTGAAGTATCTTCATTGTTGAAAAATTGGATACATGATATATGATATATGATAATCACTAAAACATTCTTGCAATTATATTATTAATAATAAAATTTTAATTTTAATTTTAATGTTTGAATTTAAAATATAATAAATGTGTATTTTTTGAAAGAATAGGGATCGTATGTTGTATATAATATTTTGAAGTATTCTGTAGTACGAAATTTTTATTTTAAATAGATCAAGCGATGTGGTAGCGGCACCAAGTACATAAACAATTGACGTGAATGTTACTGGGTAAACAAATGTGCGCTACCAAGCTTATCCAGAATTTTTTCGTCAAAATTTATTTCAGTTAAAATATCTCAGAAACTAAAACCGTAATAAAAAAATCTAATGATAGTTTTATAATATATTTGAAGTAAGAGCTTTTGATTGTAACTAGTCCAATTAAAATCGGTACATTCAATCTTGAGATCTCGAGATTTCTTAATCCGAAAAGATCATTTACATTATTTTACAGTTTTAGACTCACATACACACACACACACACACACACACACACGCGCGCGCGCGCGCGCGCACACACACACGCACG